CCTTGCGCAGGGGACAACCAGTCTGAAGGTGACGGGTGTCTCCACAGACAAAACACCGCCTGGTGCTTGAACGCTGCTTGGCAGCTCGGGGCTCTGCATCCTTGTCTTCAGCATAGCTGATATCCATCGGCTCAGGCTCGGTCGACAAGCTACTAGGGGGTATATTTCAACCGAGTTGTGCCGGTTTAACGTTGAATATGGCATTCAATGCCACATTCACTGCTTTTTGAAAAGAGACGGGTGCATACGGAAGACTTACATTCTGGCCACGTCAGTGTGGAGGCCCTCCATAAACACGGTCACTGTGACCGCATCGGAAAGAGGAATGGCTGCCATACCGTCAAAGAGAGTACGCAACTCTTGGACAAAGTCCGCCGATTCTTTCTCGCCCTGTCGGGCGACAAGAAAACGCGATCGCGCGCAATATGCCTGGTAAGGCGGCGAGAACACTCGCTAAAAGCGCAGCTTCAGCTCCGTCCAGGAGGGAAACGCCGCTTCAACTGAAGTGCCGCACGTCAGTGCCCATTTTCACCCTCGACCACCGACCTTGGAGATAGCTAGCGCTGTTGCTCGGTCTGGAGCATGGCGGATGCCATGGCCATCTCAACCGCTCTCATCCAGAGCAGGAGATCCTCTCCATCTTTACCCTCGAAGGTCTTACCGCTCCCCATGAGTGGCCTGGGTCGGGAGGATTCATCCGGCGTTGACGGTGGCGTCATGGACGCAGTCGACGCCGACATCTCATGCTCTATGTGCTCTAGCAGAGCATTTTCATTGCTTAAGTGTGCTTAGGTGCGCGCTGATCGCTTCAGCTCCGAGGTGTTGCACGCCCTCAGGGCTAAGCAGAGATATCAGTTTAGGCCCGTCCTGCATGCCTTGGGGCATATAGGAGAACTGCTCCATCCTCTCATAAGATCAGTCGTAACGACTCAGGTGTAGATTGACTACAAGTACTACCAAGTGCAGCGGGGCTGCCGTGGCTCTTTGGGTTAGAGAATCTAAGCTAAGGTCGGTGACCCTTCGTTCTACCCTTAAAAACAGTACGAGTGTAGCAGATTGCAATCCAGTCCGCTTACTCCAAGAGTAACTAAACTTTATATTTCAAGCTCCCGTTCAAAATGTAATTTGTTTTGTTAATGTTGGTTTTATTTGCAGCAAAACCGCCTATATGTAAATCTATAGATTTTCCTAGAAACCTAATTAAATGCATAACTACTGTCCAGCCACGTACTGACTTCTGGTCAAAGTGTGGCCACACCATTATGTTATTACACCGTCTTGCGTAATCCACACCCTTGTTTGGCACACCATCTTGTTTGACCCAACCCTTTATACCAGGGAACGCGTAATCTGGTTATATTACAAGCTCCGTCATTTACCTAATCTCAATTCTTGCCATGTTGACTAAGAACTATCCAGAATCGAACATATTGGATAAATCGCCAAATATTAAATCACGTCCTGAGATTATCTCCATCGCTGATGCACCTTACATGCCGTTTATTATGGTCAATGGGAACGGATCGGCTTGCAATTTATACGTGTAGTTCCTAGCTAAAACGTTTATTGGGATCACATCGCAACTAATCGAAGACAAACTCGAATGGGATAGCGTAAGCTTTGGTAGTCACGCCCGCCGACTCATACTAAGTTGAGGTTCACAAGCAAGAAGCGGCACCTGCGCATGTACAGATCAAGAAGCAGAAAGTAGCCACCAAACAGGATGGCGTAACAGCACGACTTCGATGCTTGGGTTGAAACTGCTCGCAACCAATATTCCTGGTCTGTAAGCCTCACTATCATAAAAAAATCGCTTTTTATAGGGCTGGGTACCACTGACCACAATCTCCACGAGATACAATATGACGCACTTATAAAGATGTCACTTCCGCCTCCATTTCTTTCTCACGGCACAAACTCAAAATTAGCACCCAATGCGAGACTCACTTCTTCCTGGTTGCTGTTCCAGTTACCATATTTTCCTCTAGCAACATTAGCGATTTAGTTGCGCAGCTAAGCACACAATCATTCGCGCATTAATTATCACAGCACGGTCCATTTGATTTACTGCCTTTTACGTTCCTAAAGCGTTATATCGAATTATATTGTTGTCGTGAGATACCTTCCAGACGTGCTGAACAACGACCAACGGCAGGGTTTTGAAGGAGAGGAAGAGAGAAAGACTGTCTTAATTAACGCTGAACAGCAGAGAGCATGGATGAAAGGCCAGGAAGGGGGTCTTCAATATGTCACTAGCAACATAGCTCGAGATAGACAGCCAAAATGTAGGCTAAGTATTGCGGTTGGAAGCATGAAGATGGAACAAGCCCCGCACCCCGGATTGTCATTACTTTGTGCGCGCCGCCAGTGTACCGACAATGGTGCTTGCTGGGTACCATCCGTGCGGCAGGGGACGCTAGAAGATAAGACAATCAACAGCGAGCAATTGAAATCAGATTCACGACATGTGAAAAGCGCGGAAGGATAATACAATAATCAAAGCATGCTAGCGGATTGAACGCATGAAGTTTTCTAGGTCGTCATACTGCGGCATTATCTCGCCGGAGATCGGTACTGCAACCAATGAATCGAAGGACTGTAGGAAGTACAAATCATACTTGAGCACGCAATTTAGAGGATAATACACACATTTGCTACCAATATAGCACCGGTGCAAAGCTTCCAACGATCTCGTCCAAGTCGAAAAACGGTAAAAGAAGCTAGATAGAATACTGTCGATATTCAGTGGCAGTGATTGAAGCATGTAAGAGTATCGATGACCATGTGTTTGATAGCATTTTTCACTATGCACCGTGCGATAATTGTCGATATAATAGAAAATAAGTCAAGGCTGAGCAAAAGAGGAGGGCAAATTCGCACTTACGGTTTGCAGTACCGATCCTTGCAAGCTTGTTCGTATTCTCGAAAATTGATCGAATTCCATTTGATAAGCCAGTGAAGTATAGTAGAGGATGTCGACGACTACGGCAGCGAATCTGTGGCGGCCGACGAAACAACGATTCAAATGGCGAAACTCGACCGCTTGACGACGAAATTAGGCAGAAGATCTGATTGTGACTGACGGATGCTGACAAAGCTTAAAATTGACAGAAATACGATTACCTACAGACGATATAACCAAGATGTCATTTTCGTGGTGCACAGAGAGCTTTTGGCCGAAATTTACAGGGATCATTGAGGCTTGGTGCGGAGAAGTCTAATAGTGTGCTCGAATACATTTGTTAAAGAATAACAAAAGTATGGTTGTTTGGGACGTTATCATGTAAGTACTGACGAAAAGCGAAAGGACATACGATGGGGGTATGCAGTCTGAAGTTTTGATGCATCTACACCGAAGAGATCATCAGGATAGTCAAGAATCCGGGAGCGGTGATTTTGCTATCATAACAATTTACAACCACCGCTTCGCGTGCGCTCGAGTCAAACAATCGGAAAAACGATAGTCTAGCAAGGACTCGAGATTTGAAGCGTCGATTTACTTGGATAGGGGAGTTATCTGCTCGAAGATCAAGACTCTGACTACATTGAGGTACTAATCGGAGTATATATGTGGTATATTTTCTTTAATTAACTTACAAATGTAAAGCATCATTTACCAGCACCAAGAATGCAGACGATTTACCATATCATGGGCGACGGTTTGATAGTTTTTACACTGATTTCGTACTAATCAGATGGAGAGAACAAGATATCAATTTGTTTTCATAAATAAAGAAAAAAGCAAGGCAAGTCAGTAAACAGCTTGATTAGTCAAGCGATAGAGAGACGGAGAGGATGTAGCACACAGTAAAAGACATGACGCAAAGCATGATTATAGCGTGTGGAATGTCACTTAGGTTCCGAGCAGACGTGACAAAGAACGTGACATATATAATAAGTAGAAGCCCCACTAAAGCGAATCAAACAAGGCGCTGTTGCAGATGTTTATACGAAACGCACCAAAGTTGAAGCAGATCGTACCGTTTAAAACGTCGGACCCAGTTGACGTCGATGCCGGAATAGAAATCAAAAGTCGGGTCGGCTTCATTATGTAATGCTCGAATAGGCGTAAGTTGGTCGCCTCCCTTTATTGCTTCCCTGCATCTTTGGCAAGAGAGAAAAGCCTGAGGGTGCACCAGGTTGTACGCAAGAACGGCACCAGGGAAATCGTCTCGAAATAAAGCCTAAACCTGCGAGCTGACAGATTGAGGGTACCCCTTCCACTTCACGCAGTACTGATGACAGCCCTGTTGTACCCGTCGACCCGCCAAACATTACACAAGAAAGTGTGCCTGCCCAAACCTATCTCACACTTCTGGTAGCGGTCGGACTCCCACGGTTGACTCTCGCGAGCTCTTTCTCTAAGCGTCGTGGCGTCCTTCCGAGACTGAGACGAGTAAAATATAGACATCTCTCTTAGGTCGGTTGTTGCATTGCCTGGTTTAAGACACCTCAGTGGTTGGGTATATTTACATTCACTATGTACAACTTAATCTCTATTCGCTAAGACCGACTTTATCTGACAGAAACATGGTGTTGGTTAAAGCTCAACATGTGCGGAGAATAGAAGAGTTAATTTCCGAGTAGAATAGATATCTAAAAGCATCATCTGGAGACTCGGACGATGAAATGAATTTTTGAAAAATACAGCGTTGAGTCCGGGACAAATGAAAGAACGAAGCAAAGCAAAAACAGTGGGTAAAAAATCGACATCGGATTTGCGCATAAATACTTAGATTGGATGAAGTGAAGCCGCAGATAATGGACGTGGTTGTGCAAAATGAAAGCTTAGATACCCAAAGTTGCGTTAACAGACGCACAGAGTCTGTTCCGTCTACCACTAGCAAATCCAAGAGTCTCTCAAAAGACTAACGCTGATAGTGACTTCTATTACTTAATCACAAAAATACGTACGTCGTATTGATCCTTACAATAAATGTCAAAGTTTTCTGACGTACGGCTATCAGCTCACGAGTACCTCAACTCCTTCCTTTTTAAATTTATTTGGAGTTTATAAATACCAATATTCCGGCATTAATGAATGCTCACAATTACATCGAGTATTATGTTATACTCGTACAATTGTTTTGTGTGTATTTGACACAATTTCACCAAGATAATATGTAGAGATTAGGCAAATAAAACGACAGTACTTGCCTCGTAACACCCTTCTCATTTAGACCACACCGGAATTCAAACCAATTTTGTAGCTTTACCAATTTTGTAGCTTTATAACAATGTGCAAGGTGACCGTTCCAGAAGCACCACTTCAATCATTTTCATTGCATTTTACCGATCCTACCCTGTTGAGTCTACTTGCACTGTGTGTCCGTTTGCGTTCACGGGTAGAGGCGCGGTCTTTGTGACTGATGCGCTTTAACTTTCAAAATGGGGATCCTGAGTTGTTTGATCGATGAGATCGGTCCCTTTAATTCTCCGAGTCCCGGCCAAATACCTCTTCTTCATTCAGCAAAACACAGCTCAGCTATTCTCCAGGAGGAGGGGTGCTCACTACACTCGACCAATCCTGCTAAATGCGTCTTGAACTCGGCGATAAGTGTTTTGCCACAACGCCGTGTCGCCACGACGATATCCAGCTCATTGCCAGCAAACTGAACGAGGCTCAAGGAGCCCAGCTTACCTCACTGCAAACATAAGATTCAAGTCGACATTAGTCATAATCACGTCGTGATTACAATTTTGAACAGCTCGCACTCGCTCACCGCTCTATTATGGAGCTCTTACATGCCCATGCGTGTGGGCCGTCCGCTTAAAGTCAGAATGAGACGAGAGTGACAAAGCCGCTCCGCGTGCATTCTCGCAACAAATAGGTCATCACTCACCAGAAGTACACTCAAAGCAGCTTCAGTTATTAAAGTTCTAACCCTTTATAGTGAGGGTGCCTAAGTACTAAAGTTGGAGAAAATATCACGGAGTAGCGAACATAGTTTGCACAGTGGCGAGCTGTCTCATCCGACTGAAGGCTTTATTCTCATGCCTAACTTTGCAATATTCTAAGCGCGGCGTGGGCATCGGCAGCCCTAAGCATCACTGCAAACTGCCGTTATTTACAGCCTCCGCTTGTCTTGCCGTTCTCTGCAAGATTGGTCATTTTCTGCTAGTGGATAAATTGCGACGAGCGTACTGGAGATAGTCCTGGTGATCCCGCCCTTCGACCAAACGTTCGACGTAAAAGTGGGTCACCACTTGCTCATCGATCATTGCTGATGGAGAGCGACATCCCATCGACTGGTACTTCTGATTTGTCGCGGTCGCGGCGACACGCCAACTCTCTCGAAGTGTCACGTCATTTTCCCGAGACTAAGATGAGCTAAACTGACTGGAGGAGCTCTTATCTTTTCGTTTTGGAGCAAAGGCAAACTCAACTACATAATATTCTTGAGGCGTCGCTTCGGCATCAGCAGAGCTCTTCACGCCCGACTTTCTCGTAAGAGCGAAATTGTGGTGTGGCTCTAGTAAGCCCTCATAGATCGATGAGTGGATTCGCATTTTCTCTTCAAATAATTCAATCCTTTTTCACTAGGACCAGGAGCAGCGTGCTGGCATCTTTCATCAACCGCAGTCACAACATGTTTTCATGGAGTTGATACATTCGATAAAGTCTTTGCCAACCACTTTTTTGTGTGTAATCCTCCTGTGGCTAGCAACAGCAAGCTGTATTAGGCTTCTTGGCCCGTCGCGTACCTTGAACATAAACGCTCAATCTCATCGAAACTAATTTCTGATTAGCTACGAATTGTAGTCGGGATGATATTGGCAAGTCAAACTAATATGATAGTTTCTTTTCCCACTAAAGCTGGATCCACTCCGTGGTGATGTCAAAGGCACACAGGGACTTACGAAATCATTTATGTACGATGCGGGAGTGCCTGTAGAGACGTGTTCTGCGTTATTGTTTTTAAGGCGACATCAATGAGGAGAAGCAGCTCGCCCCTGCACCGCAGTCTTCCTACCTAAGTGCTACGGTATGTACCTCCCACAATGTCATTTACGTATTGACTCAGACAATTTGATTCGCGGATGACCAAGCGGTTGACATAGTCAATTTGGTTTCGAGCACATTGAAGAATGTATGCTAAGACTTTGCAGTATACCGCGAATTTCTACAGAAGTAAGGTAAACTATCATGCTCAGAGGGTCTACATGCCACATTACTGGTATCGCCGGACGTGTCGTTTTGAATATCAAATATTAAGTCAATACTGATGGATTACCAGAGCTCTGCCGAAACCGGCAGACTGACCAAAGTTGCCGCCGCGTGCGGCGAAAGCTTAAGCCGCTGACACATTTCACACGTACACAGATATGTGCTTACACATTTATACATGTTAGGCCACCACTTCATTGTGCTCACCAAACAGTATGGCTTTCTTCTTTCGAGGTGACCACATCAAGAGGTAGTTAGGGTCTCGTACAGTATTCGGTAATTGAGGTCCTCATCAAGAGGCTTCACGACACACCTAGTCTCATGTGGGTCTGTGCGGAAAAGCAGCAAACTTTGGGATACGGCATAGCGGTATAGGCATACATCAACGTGTTTTGACAAAGTGACATCAGGGCGGTAAAATTATTAGCTATATAAAGCCATGGATGCTACGTCTTTCCCTTTCGGCGCTTAATCAATCGGCGACACCGCCATTATGATATGCGACGCTTCATAGTCTGGGCGGCGCCAAAGCATATTTTTGCCATCACATTTAGCTGAGTCAAATTATATTTTACCTCAAATCGGTCCGGAAAATATAAACGGCTTAATGACGTCGCTGTGCGCAACGACGCATGCTCTGTATAGACAACAATTGGTAAAGAACCGATGTGGTACACCGTAACCTTGACGAGGACATACTTCATTCCCAGTAGCTTCTTGTCGTAAGCAGGAAAGTTTCTCTTACTAGCTCTCAGCCGGTCGGACGCGAATGTGATCGCACTTCATGCATATTGGCATCCGCTTAGAGTATGACATAGCTTTGGAAAGGCTAAAGCGTCACAGACGACGTGGAATGGCTGATCTGAGTTTTGAGAAGCCAAAAATCGAGGAGCACAAGAGACATTGTTCTTCAGAGCCTGAATGCCCCCTCTTTTATCGCACCCTAGCACCTTTTTACATCGTTTTGAGGAGATTAATAAAGTGTTGCACCATGTCTTCATATTTTCTCTATACTTGTGCAAGTTACCGGCCTGGCCAAGTCACTTTCTCAAGTCTTTTTGGGGATAACAGCATTCGCCATTTTTCAATGGCTTTCAACGTTGCGAGCTCTACCTGCAGGCCATACTTCCTGCTGTAGTAGCCAAGAGAGGGGGATTCGCCGGCGCCAAATACAAAATTATTTCATATTGGTGAACTGCTAACGTAAGTGCAGATACTTGAGCACTTCTAGGCGAACAATGGCCGCCCCGAGCTTCAACCGCCCGTTTCTCGAGCCCGTCGAAAACGACACTAGCCATAAGCTTACCAGACTGAATTGTGTCCCGGGAACAGGTACTCGAGCGTTTCATGTTGACCCGTTGTGATTGTCCATAGGCACTTGATAAAGATTAATGTTTTGAAAGTCCGCGCTCGCAAATGCATAGAGGTTGGGATCATTGCACTTCTACCTGGAGTAGACCCAAGTGTATCTACCATAGCGAGACATCTAATTAGCCCTGCTACACATATTTTTGTTGAATGCCACTTGAATTAGCGTAAAATAACTACATTTTTGTGCCCCTACTGAACGAATGCCGATGATTCGGGACTTATGGATTTTCACATTCACGCCATAGTATCACTGTGTATTCAGACAATGTATCGTATTGTATTGATACAACTGTACCGCATTCGTAAGGAGTAGTTTACACATTGTAGCACTTCCTCCGCTACAACTTTACTATGCGGAGCTCACACTCGGCGTTGGATGCCTCGCAGGTGCTAGATAGATCTTCAAACGCGATGCGACCCACCATTCCTTTTTTTCACCTCAATTCTAGCCGACTCATACGTCTCGTCGGCTAAGAAATGCTCTTCACCAATGACTCTTCCAGCCTCAAGGCAAAAGGCATGATCATGTTGTTGCATTCTTTGACTGATGTTTTGACAAGTCGTAATTTTTAAATTTTGATATGGCCAATAGTTAAACGTGCATTCTCTACAATAATATGTTTAACAGCAATTTCCTAAATTTTATTATCTAATCTGTCGTTGCACACATGGCCGAAGAGAACAGTGCGGTCAGTCAAGATTCGTCCGCACTTTCGGATCCTTTCCCCACTATCCATACTGATGACAATGATATTTTTGATCATTATCTAAATGTTGTAGTCACGAGTGTTGATTTCGTGTCTCCAAGCGTCACACAGAGCATCGCGTCTTCGCTTTCTGCTTCGGGTCTTCACGTCTACACTGTTGAGTTTGTCGTAACGAAAGGCACCACCTCGTACTGTATCAAGCGGCCTTTAAATGAATTATTTGATCTACTAAATACCATTCAAGCAACAGCTTTAGAGCCTCACGGACCCATTAATGACAGTAACAGAATGCCTGAATTTCCACCCAAAAGTTGTCGGAATGACTCACTTCTTGCTCAATGGTGCGCTCAAATGACGGCATTTCTATCTACTCATCGCTGTGGTATGTTAAAGCTGCATCCAGATTGGCTGAAATTTTTGATCGAGCGCGACGAAGACAAAGGTGCTCGGATGCACATGACGGCAGTGGATTTCATCTTACAACCTTTTCCAATGGACAAATGTTATATACCAAGAGGATCTCGCCATGAAATTGTGATAGACGTTAAAGAGCAGCAAGATCATAGTATGCCACGATATATTGTGTGGAAGTTTGAACTTGAAGATTTTGACGTGGATTTTAGCGTTTCGTATGCTCCAAAACCGTATGAACAGCCAGTTGAGATCGTTCATGCACGAACTAGATACTTATCAACGACTACAAGTCGTGCTGTTGAAGGATCATACCGATGTTTAAAACCAGGAAAAGCTACGTTGGTCTGGGATAATTCGTACTCAAGACTTCGAGGGTAAGTGATTCAACGTGCAGTGACTTATTGAAACGCTGATACTTTCATTTTGTAGAAAGAATGTATTGTATCAAGTTCAAGTTATTACTAGTAGCATAATGGAGTCAGCAATAACAGCAGCAGATGCGCTGGATGAAGCAGTACAAGCAGAAAAGATTCGTGATGAAAAACGGGATGCTGCTCTCTCCACTGCGCTTATTGTAAGCTCGGGAACTCCATTAGATCAAGTATCTGGATATTCTGCGTACATTCCAGATGCCATTGCTCAGCAAAGTTGGCTACTCAGCACACCAATCAACGTAGCAGGACATTTGGCATGGAAACTTTTTGGCTCTCCCGAAAAGTTAGCGGTCGTCTCAGCATCAAGAAATCAACATAGCAGCGGATCCGATAGTGAAGCTCGCAGTTTGTTGGAAGAATTAAATGGACTTAACATGCAGCTAATGGAACGAATGGTACGAAACAGAGTGAAACGTTTTAAAAGGAGTAGCTTAATATTTTGGTGGTCCGGTACATAGGAGAGTTTGGAAGACAGTGTTGGCAAGTTGACTACAGAACGCGATCAAGAACGCTCAAAAACACACATGGCAATAGCGAAACATGAAAATTTTGCCATTGAACTCAAGGCTAGGGAGCAAGAGTTGGCATCATTAAAAGGGGAACTCGAGCGGATTCAAAGAGAACGTCAAGCATGGCGAGAAATTCAAGCAGAACGAGATGCTTTGCTTGAAGAAAAACATCGTTGGGCTATGGTACGAAAGTAACGTATTTATGTGCGTTGCTTTATTCATCAAGATTGTGTGTCTTAGATGGATGATTTTGATGGAGATGGTGGAGAAATATCCAACTATGCAACGGAAATGGACATGACAGCCAGGAATAGACTAGAACAGGAACTTGGGCAGGCTGAAGCAGCAGTACTAAGGTGTCGAGCAGAGTTGGGCTATCCTTTAAGTAATCATTTAACCGGTACTTCTACTCGATTGGAAAAAGTTGCGAGGGAAATGACAGCAACGAAACAACAGTACGAAGAGAGAATGCAAGCTTGGGAGAATGAACGATTGCAATTGACACAAGAATTGGTGAAAGCTCGAGGTCAACGACGTGTGCTCGTGACGGAAATACGCAACATGCGGACACAGACAGAAGGCCAAATTGCTGTTGCTATGGCGGAAGCGAGTGAAGCGCGAATGGTAAACCAGAGGCTGAAAAGACAGAATGAATTGTTACTGACTCAGATCCGAACGCTTATAAACGAAGCAGAAGATCATGAAAAGAAGCTTATAGATGCTCAACAAGATTTTAAACATCAAACACAAGGCTTGCACCTTCAGTCTCAAAGTGTTTCTGAGACAGAAACTTCTATGGCAATGCTCAACCTCTCCGTCAAAAAGTTTGAAGATGAAACTACGACGCAGGACAAGGAGTCGCCCGTTCCATATACTTTAAGCGAGAATGACATTGCGATCTTGAATGGATGTTCACCGTCTGTGCAGAAGTCTTTGTTAGAGCAAGAGAGTCAAGTCCAGACGAGCTCGACTGCTTCGTATCGTGCACGACTGGTTGCATTCCTTAAAGAACGTGATCCAGAAAAATTGATCGAAGTCGATGAGATGCTTGCTAGCTACAAAGGTGTCGAGGCTTCTTTATTCGAGAGTCTAGAGTTAAAATATAGTTTCATGGAATTGAATCGGCGAATAGCACAATCAATGTAAACAACAAAAAGTCTCAAATTCTCACTTAAGAGGAACTTTAAAGCCGAAATGTCAACGTAAACTGTGAATTTCTTACTCTTTCTTGGTTTTGAGTGCCTTGTTTCCACGATTCGTACAGCAGCTATACAAACAACCAAGCCAGAATCCCAACAGTAAACCGCCGGAAAAAGTCACAAGCAGCACATTTTTCTTGGTCGCCAGCAGCGTGACAAAGTCCCTCTTGACTTCCAACGCCTGCTGGAGAGCAAAGTCCACGATCGTCGGGGCAGAGCTAATGACTTCACCCTCAACTTTCTTAAAGCCATCACGAGCAAAAGCTACAAGGTCATTAAGTGTGCGTGGGCCCGTAAACTTGTACGATTTGCCATGACTTAAGTGCAGAATAGTTGGAAATCCACGAATACCGAAACGCTTGCCCAACTCTGCGTTGTCCGTCACATCCACTTTGGCCACATTTACTTCACCTTTTAACTCATCCGCCACTTTTTCGAATATAGGCGCTAGTTTTTTACAATGGCCGCACCACGGCGCATAGAACTCAATGAGCCAGTCGCCAGTAGTGGCACCTGAACCCGCCTGCGTCTTGTGCTCGAAATCGGCATTTGTCAAGACGATAATATTGGACGAAGTTACATCGGAAGCTTTGGAGTACAAAGCGCAGAGTGCGGCAAGCGTCGCCATGTACAGACAGCGGATGATTGACATTCTTCTTTCTTGCCGCCGAATTGTATTATGAAGTGCTGTCGTCGCGATCTTCCTTGCTGGCTTCATATGATTGGCTCAATTCGATGGTGTGGTGAACACAATGCTCTTGGTATCTTAAGCGATACAACCAATAGGCAGAGAGTTACTTACCAATGTAATAAATTCGATATGTGTGCGATGTTCACTGATATTGCATCGTCACACTTGTTTCGTGCGTCTTTAATATTTTAGAACGCGGAAATGACAAGTCTTCGACCTAGAACGGATTTATATACAGAAGCCAGAGTGTAGTAAAATGTTGTGAGATTTGAACCGTCACTGAACGTTAAAAGTCAAATATATTTCTCAGGGATTTGAAATGACATTACCCTTAACACGAGCTGGCTGCCGCGTATCATGTTTAGATCGTTGGCATTTTGCTGATACTTGTTATCTATAGACGTGTCAGGTGGTCAATCAAGACTGCGAAAAGTGATCATTGTTTGTTGTAGCCCTTCACTCAACGACCAAAATCCGCTGCCGTGCATATTGCACACGGGAAGGTTTGACTCTTAGAGCTCGCGTAATTGAGCGCAATGAGGCTAAGTAAGAATGTTGCTCACACTTAGAGCGAGACGGGGCGAGAAAGTTGCTCCACTAGCGCCTCCTCAAAAACAAGTAGTCACTTTCCAGGAGTAGCGTCTGCGTCTCGAGCAGCAGCGCCTAAAGAATTTCATACTCTTCATGAGATATGTACCTTGTGTACTAGTCTTTGGCAAAAAACCGCCAAAAACTCAACTCAAATCGCGCGCTGGGTAAGATCGTACGCCGTCATATCAGTCAAGAGGCTTTAAAGACCAGCTTTAGCGGACTGGAAGTCCACCAAGAGCACTGTATCGTTGGCATTTGCTTGATTTTGCGAGATACAAAGCATGGTGCGGACGTCGAGGTGACTTCTGCCGTTTACAGTCCCACTCATTCATCGGACAGCTGTAACAGCTAAGGACCGAGGATAATATTTAGTTTGCTGCAACTTCTTTACCGAAAGGTTGAAGACGATTGAAATCAATCAAAGAATATCAATTCGCTCGAGTATATTAGTAATCTCTATAGGACAGCTGTAACAGCTGAAAATGAGAGTCATATTCATCGCAAGGTCAATCCACACTCACTAGTGGAAAGCGCGGTGCGGCAGACAGAATCGCCTTATGTTCAGGGAAATTAACAAATGTGGTGCGCCAGGTCGAAAGCAAGGAAAACACCAAGGCAATTTTGTCGATGTATAGCTTTTTTAGCTTCGAAGGGTATCGTTATCATTTTTCTAGTTACTTGTGACAGCCCTGGTGTACCCATGGAAATGGAATATTTTTTGCTTGATGATGGTTGACACCTTTGCAGCTATCTCTTGCGAGCTCATAGTTGGTAGCTAGCTTTTCAAGCAAACAAAAAGCTAAGCTATTCGACAGCTAAGCTAGAAGAAGCTAAGCTATTTACTGTGAGCTTCGCTTGGCTTTTTGCTTGTTAGATTAGATTAGCTTAGCCTGAAATATGGTCAAGCTACCAAGACACTAGCAAGCTATTAGCTCAAATAGCTTTAATGCTATCTATACATTTATAAAATTACAGGGGTCGAATATAAATTGCTGTTTTTTCAATTAGCCACCCTTAAAATTTTTTGCGACATGGTTGACTTGCGACAAAAAGAATCCCGCCCCGCCTACGAAGATGTGTCATTTGACCGGGAAGATGCTGAGAGACTGAGTGGAGGTGAACAGCCTGTGGCACTGGTTTTCAACACCCGATCCGCTGCACGGAAGCGAATCCGGCGCGCTCTGGCTCAAGTGAACGTTCTGACTGTCGATACTCTAACGGCTATGACGAACAAACAACCCTTC